TAAATCAGAGCGTTTGGGTCTAGAATAGGGTATCATTTTTCACAAAACTGACTAGTTGGTTGAAGATTTTCTCTAGACCAAGGAAACCAGGAATTGCCTCTCAAAAATATATATAAAAAAAACTCAAACCGGAAAGCTTAAATTTACGTAAATCAGCCTCAACAGTGTCGATAGATGGGGGGATTTGGGGAGTCTACTCTAGCATAGGGTAGCAAAATTCAGCTGAACTAGCTCTGGTATAGGCTAGGGGTTCCAGGGTCCCAGCGGCACATCCCCACCCAGAAATTCTCAAAGTACCCCCCCGGGTTTGGAGGGTAGATTCCGTCCCTCTACCAGACTTAGCAGATCTTCGTAGAGTTACAGTCATTACATAGGGATGGAACTAACAAAAACGTGTACTTTCAATGAAGGTCTGTCACAATTTCATGGAGGCATCACAACTGTTTGCTTATTTCTTCCAATGCCTAATTCCCTCTTTGAGACGTGCCTGCAGGGAATCATGGTAGTTGCACTCAGTCATCATCTTGGACTGGATATTTGTTTTGATGGATACAACTACCATGATTCCTTGCAGGTGCGTCTCATAGAGATATTTGGCTATCATTCAACGACGGCAAAAGTGCGGTCCTTCCACTTCGAATAAAAGGAAAAAATATTCTAAAACCATAGAAAATAAAAATATGCAGATAGCGGCAACAGCATGTGATGAATCCTCTTTGACTCCCAGCAGTGTTTTAACTCAGCTATGCAAATCCGATATGCGGTCGAATAATAACAATTTGTGAACTTGTTGCAATTAACGAGTATTCTATCGAGTACCTGGGAAAATTCTGTGTTTAGAGCGTGTGACGTAATCTCGCATAAGACCTATTGACCTTTCCTCTACATTAGCTGAGTTACATACCGTAATCAAAATGAACTACGTACCTTTTTAACCATTCCAGATGAATGCGGCCCGGGATTGTATTCTTCAACTGGCATAGCTAAATGCTTCACCTGCCCCACTGGAACCTACTCATCAGAACAACGAAACAAAGAATGTATTAGTTGTCCAGAGGGAACTCTTACTGTTATCAGCGCAGCCACAGTAATTGAGGACTGCGGAAGTAAGTAAATTCGTTTCTCAATAAAAGTTTCTGTTTGACAAAAACTACACGCCGTTTCCAAAAATATCTGGATATTTTTTAGTATGTTTAGAAGATTCCGAGATATTTACAAAATGTAAAAATATTTAGACAATTAAGGGATATTTAGAAATATTTATAGCTCTTTTGGGGGTGAGCCCTGTGTTTTCCAGCTTTTCCACGCTAAGAAACAATCCAGTTCAGTGGTTTTCGCCTTGAATGATATAAAGCACTTAAAGCAGTCATTTTCCAAAATGGCGGGTGCTGGTAATATCCGTGATCCTGAATCTTTTTCCTCTACTACTCCTTCTACTACCAGTGCAACACCTGTAACACTGAATAGAGAACTACTGTTGTAAACGATCTCTTACTCCCACAAGTGAGATTTTGGTCTTGGCTATTGAAAGGCGGTTTATTATCTAAACAACAATAACAGGTGTTCATAGCCTTTTTTTCGAAATATTTAGAGCATTTTTGAAAATTTCTGATAAGATTTTAAGGCGATTTTAGGTGGTATTTGTGGAAAGGCCTGTATTACATTCTTCATTCAGCTTTTTTCTTTCCTCTTATGTCCGAATTATACGATTCATAGACTGGCTTTAGTAATACTGTTGCTGATCTTGACGAATCTACCTCACATGCATGCATCTTATTACTTTAACAAAATTTGCCCTGAATTTTCGAGTTTTACGTTTGTAATATGGCGCAATTTTTATCAAAATTAAACGGGATAATAAAGTTTAACTTAACCGAAAAGGTGCCGTCGTTTTACGGTTAGTAGGCTGATTTAGCAAGAGAACGGGAACGTCACTTGACGACGGCGCGCGCAGTACAAATACCCAAAAATGGTCAGATGACGATTGCAGGGCGCGCGGAATAACCTGGATTCTGTTCTAATTTGACCATATTTGGGTATTTGTACTGCGCGCGCCGTCGTCAAGTGACGTTCCCGTTCTCTTGCTAAATCAGCCTAGTATTTAAACTTGACCCCGTTCAAGTGTCCGGGTTCGCAACTGAGAAACGTCACGCTTCAAATTTTTTTTTCTGTTGTTTATGTTGGCGTTGCTGCTGTTTTTCTTTCGGTGAACTGCCGTTCTAAAAGTCGATATATAGGAAAAGGTTAGCTCCCTAACGCTTCTAGTCTTGCCAGTGGTGGGCTCCAAACATGCACAGTATGATAAAAGAAAAATGGGGAACTTTATTCTGGAAATATTTTCCAATTCCCATCATTCTAGATAAACCCCGACCACAACAGCACAAAAACCACTAAATTTTTATCAGGGCAACACTTATCCAAAAATAAGAGGCAAGCTCAAGTTTGACCCACACAAACTAACTCACTTATTTTCACACCCCACACCATAGTTCATTGACGTGTACTTTCTACATGTAACTCGTATTCCCCGTAAGGTCATCACAACACATTATCTTTGCCATGATGCCTAGTTTTAAGATGCTGATTGTTAACAATGTCTGTATTTGTTAGTGCAATGTGCTCCAGGAACATACTCAGACAATGGAGTAGAGCCTTGCTTGCCTTGTCCTGCTGGAACGTATCAGACGGAGTATGGGCAAACATCTTGTCTACCTTGTCCTGGTCAGGAATCTACACACGGCACTGGGGCAAGTTCTTTAGACTACTGTACAGGTGCGACTTTTTTTTCAATAGTTTGGTTCTAAACTCTAAACTGTAGGATTCTGATTTCATAGGCTCATGCAACCGCTTTTGAAGTCTTTAATGGAATAGTATCAGATATATTTGAGTGATTTTGTCAGGTTAACCCATGATTTGTTTCTACCCTGTTGTTTTCCATTGCTTCGTGACAGTACAGCCAACTATACGCGCTAATACTCAGTCGTGTGAACAACCTATTCAAAGAGTTTAAGACAATCGAAAAACTCAAAAGGAGACTCAAAGGAGGAACTTTCAACTAACTTTATCTTCGGCTTTCGCGCGAGGAAGCGTACACCAACAGGGAGGCGAGTGATATTGTCAATTTCATTCGGTTTTCCTCTTTAGAACATGTTGCTTGTGAACAGCACAAGTTAAAAGTTAGAGGGAAACGAATTTGAGCTGTACGTGTTCTCATCATATTCATTTCTATTTATTTCCCGGATGTAAAGTATTTAATCTGTGGTAGGTCGTGGCATTACTGAAGCCTACAAAACACAAGCCTACAATCTCAGCCACACTTAATCCCCTTATACCTAATGAAAAAATGCCAAATTGCGATTACAGAGGTGGACACATGTGTTTCGAGTCCTTGCATGAACGGTGGAACGTGTGTGAACACGAAGGAATCTTACCGATGCGAATGCCCACCGGGATACAAAGGAGGGAATTGCGAGATGGAGATTAACGAGTGTCTCGCGTTACCATGTTATCTGGACTCCACTTGTGTCAACAAGGTACCTTTGATTTATTAGATTCTCTATTCTGTGGCCTCAATGCAATTGCTAGTAGAATAAGACTGTAGTAGCCGACACGGCCGCCACGACAGATGGTTTAGAAGAGCAGTTTACAGTTCGCGTATCGCGCTCTGCTCTGTACCGCAAAAAAGCCGTGCAAAGCCACCAGTGTTGTAGACAAACCTGGTTAGCAGTCACCTTTCTGTTATGAGCAAATACAGCCCCTCTTTACAAAGTTTCAACAAACTATTTATATTGCTTTTTTAAACATCATATATAACATAACATCTCTTCTCCTCTGTGTATAAAAGATGTCTTAGAGATACCTGCATCAGGCAATCACTAAGTCATTTCCGGAGAATAACCATTTAAGACCATTTAATTCAGGTTCCACTACATGTGTCACGACAAGTTATTTTCTATCTATGTTTTCAAGGAATGGGTCTGTTACAACTTGCTAGGATCGTTTAATATGTCTCTCTCGTACAGGTAAATGCTTACAAATGTCTTTGCACCGATGAGTATACTGGTAACGAGTGCGAACTTCCGTACAGCCTTTGCAACCAACGAACTCCTTGTGTAAATGGAGGAAACTGCATCGATAAAGCGGGAACATTTTCCTGTCAGTGTCCGCAGGGGTATAGTGGGACATTCTGTGAGATTAACATCGACGAATGTGCCTCAAGCCCTTGCCAAAATAACGGGGTATGCACTACTGGCGTGAACACCTATTCTTGCGAGTGCCAGGCAGGATACAGTGGTGTGAACTGCCAGATCAATATCGATGACTGCGCTGCTAAACCCTGTCAGAATGGCGGTACCTGTGTGGACGATGTACAGTCCTACAGTTGTTCATGCCCAGTTGGGTACACTGGCGCCAACTGTGAGAATCCTATTGATCACTGCGTAGGGCAGCCATGTCGCAATGGTGGCACATGCGTAAATACACTAACTGGTTTCAAGTGCCAGTGCATGCCATCCTACTCCAAATGTCTCTGCAGCGAAGGTATGGCTGACGCTCAATCTGAACCAGTAATTAGTCTGTTATTACTGAGTTAACAGATCATGTAACATACCAAATACGAAAGACCGTGTTTCACCACATTTTAAAACATCGGGAAGAGAGTTGAAAATACGATTCAATTCAATTCAATCAAATTCAATTTAACTTTAATTTAAACTCTCACAAATTTTAATTTTACAGACGTGCAAGAAAAAAGTAGAATGCATATAGATATGTACAAATTACCTGTAGAAAATGATAAATAGCATTAATGAAATAATTTCAAGTACAATTGTGATTAAAAAATAAAGTGTTAATGAGAGAGAGAGAGAAAAGGAGATAAAGGAAGACGAATAGTTTTAATACAAGGTTGATTGTGTGGAGTGTGGAACACCTAGATAGTTTATGGAGTTAATCGAGTAGGTGCTCCAAAGAAACATAATTTAGCAGAAGGAATGCAGTGTCAAAAAAAACAATTAAGGTGAAAAGTATTTCTTCAAGATCTAACTTTTAAAGTAGTTAGTTTTTTATAGATATATATTATTTATACATGCTCTTTTTATTTTACGTTATACAGGGCTCCCGTTGATACCAGTCCTGCGACTGAAGGGGTCACCCTGTTTAAATATCGATTATTATTATTATTATTATTATTATTAACCACAAAAAAATTAATTACATTTTTAATCAACTTAAGAGCTATTAATATTATTATAACTGTACGACTTGTAGCGGAGTATTTTTGACGAACATCGAACTGTTTGGCAATGAAGTCAAACACTGTCTTGAGTGTTTGATATATCTTCTCAATCGAAAATAAAACTAAGGACAAAAAATGGAGAAAATAATGGTAAAAGTTTTTGCTAATTAAGATCAGGTGTCCATACACCGTCACGGTCACGATTTCCTATGTTTAAACTTGATGAATTTTTAATGACTCTGAAAATACTAATCCAAGATTACCTTACTACAATTTCAAAATATAAGGCGCTCGGAAGTACACAGAACTGATTCCTCTGCCATTTAGTTCCTGTTTTCACACACGTAACGTCAATNACATACCAAATACGAAAGACTGTGTTTCACCACATTTTAAAACATCGGGAAGAGAGTTGAAAATACGATTCAATTCAATTTAACTTTAATTTAAACTCTCACAAATTTTAATTTTACAGAGATGTAAGAAAAAATAGAATGCATATAAATATATACAAATTACCTGTAGAAGATGATAAAAAGCATTAATGAAATAATTTCAAGTACAATTGTGATTAAAAACTAAAGTGTTAAAGAAAGAGAGAGAAATGGAAATAAAGGAAGACGAATAGTTTTAATACAAGGTTGATTGAGTTTGGAACACCTAGATAGTTTATGTAGCTAATCGAGTAGGTGGTCCAAAGAAACATAATTTAGCAGAAGGAATACAGATTTGAAAAAACAATTTAGGTGAAAAGTATTTCTTCAAGATCTAACCACAAAAAAGTAATTACATTTCAACTTAAGAACTATTAATATTATTATAACTGTACGACTTGTAGCGGAGTATTTTTGACGAACATCGAGGTGTTTGGCAATGAAGTCAAACACTGTCTTGAGTGTTTGATATATCTTCTCTATCGAAAATAAAACTAAGGGAAAAAATGGAGAAAACAATGGTAAAAGTTTTTGCTACTTAAGATCAGGTGTCCATACACCATCACGGTCACGATTTCCTATGTTTAAACTTGATGAATTTTTAATGACTCTGAGAATACTAATTCAAGCTTACCTTACTACAATTTCAAAATATAAGGCGCTCGGAAGTACACGGAACTGATTCCTCCGCCATTTAGTTCCTGTTTTCACACACGTAACGTCAATGACGCGAGTATTGTTGATGCTCCATCGAAAACACGTCACTCCATTGTATGATTGCCCAACAATTGACCATTTTCATTACTTCTCTTGCAGAGCTTTCATCTGACTACGATTTGTCGTTTCAAGTCAGAGCGGCCAAGTCGTATTCCAAGATTAAGAAGCCAATTTCGGACCTTAACGCACTAACCATCGCTTTTTGGATGCGTACCAGCGACCGCAACCCCGGAACAGTGATCTCCTACGCAACTCAAGTGGGTGATATTGTGCAGGACAACGCATTAGCTTTACAAGACTATTCCAGCTTCAATCTATTTGTAAATAATAGAACTGTCTTCACAGGACTGAAAGTAAATGATGGTCAGTGGCATCACGTGGCAGTTACGTGGGAGAGCGCGGGAGGAACATGGTATTCCTACAAAGATGGCGTTGAAATAAAAAGCTCATCTCAGGCTTTTCAACAAGGTGAAGTTATTTCTGGCGATGGCGTTATGATCCTTGGCCAAGAGCAAGACGAACTGGGTGGTGGATTTAACACTCAAGAAAACTTTATCGGCGATATTAGTCAGCTGAACATCTTTGACTACATGCTGTCTGCTAACGACATTTATAACTTGGTATATAGTTGCGATCATGTAAAGGGAAACGTAGCAGCCTGGAGCGACTTTAGAGAGAGGCTCTTTGGAATATACCACTTAACGGACAAATCGTACGCGTGTGACTGTGAGTGCCTTTTATTTACCTGGTACAGTTCGTATTTAATGAATGCGAACACAGTATTTAGCTAACTGCGTAAAGAACGCCTTTTTGGCAAACGTGAGACATGGGATACTGCATGGTTATCTAAATTTGCTTAGTTTCACCGCTTGATAAGATACAGGTTT